ATAGCAATGTTTAACATATTCAGCCGGGTTTTAATCATACAAATGCAAATCGCTAGCTATCATGCTAAGAAATACTGGTTTTTGAGTCAAAAGTTATTATACGTCATTTGGTGGCCCCTATTGTTACTTAAGTCAAAGTGTATTTACCAGGACATTATCAATTACGTCTCCTTACGTGCAGCCCATTCATCATTTTAGGACCACCGAAATCATCTTAGCAACAAACAGTTCGATTTATTCACGAAACGACGAAAGTACACTTTTCACGGGTTTCTCAGTGCTGTTACTTAAGGCAAACGGCATCTCCATAGAAATCGGATGACTTAAGTAACATCGAAAACTATTTTGATCGGAAGGTGATTACGTCAAAAAGCAATTCGACTGGTCAATAAATTTAAAAATGGGATGTGATCCTATATTGGGACAGTATATAGTGTAATAGCAGGAGCATCGATTGACACTGATAGCTCGACTTTGTTTACCTTTGTTACATTCGACGTAATGAAAATTTGCTCTTGATATATTCCAAGAAATTCAATAAATCAGCGGCGCCGGTGGTGTAGTGGTAAGCGTGATTGCCTCTCACCCCAGCAGGCCTGGGTTCAATCCCAGTCGGCACCGCCGGGATGTTCTGAGTCATAACATCTTTGATCCCGCCTTTCTTCGGAAGGGAAGTAAAGCCGTTGGTCCCCGGTTCATGAGTTGATGGGTCGATAGGCAGGGTCCAGGTGTGGAAGCTGCCTCCCTGGCGTCGGTAGCATTGGTGCTCAGCACGGAAAACAAATCAAGAAAAAAAAGAACTTCAATAAATATGAATAGGGTAAATTATGGCTTCGGCACCCATTGACTGTTTTCGGCAACCGAAATAGAAACGTTAATTTCACCGAGGGGGGCGACACATCTAAATCTCAATTCTAGATGCTCAAAAAATCTCACACTAGCGAATAAATCTTCGCAAAATCTTCTCTCATTTCTCGCATCTACTTGCATCGCGCATCATCTTTTTGCAGGAAATCTTCAAAATCGTGATAAATCTTTTTCTATCTACTCAGCGTACGCGCAGCTAGCCACAGCAAAACATAATATTTCCTGCATCGTAGATAGAGTCGCCCCCCTCGAATTTCACTGTATTTTCCCATGAAAACTCTTCGCTGAATGTATTAAGCCAATTCCTTACCTTTTCAGCTTCAATCTGATTACATTTTTACGACTGTGCAAACCTGTTCTGCCATATTTTTCTTTAAATGAAATATACACACTACAAAATACGGCTGATTTCGAGTTGCCGATAATAGAACAGCTGGTTAACACGCAGTTCAAATGGAAAGGGTGCCGAAGAAAAAGAGACTGCCGACAATAGTCACACTCACCTGAGAAGTTTGGAGCGTTGTAAAAACATGTTCAACCCGTTTTGATCAATTCTGTCGATTGGAATTGGTAGAACAGCAAGCAGCAGATAAATGTCAACAAACAAACCTGTCATGTATGTGTGTGACGCTGAGAAATCGCTAATAGAAGTGCGGACGCTGCTTGACGAGAATACGTAAATTCCCCTATATAACTTCAATTGCATATTTTTTTCTTATCCTTAACGATGAAAACTAACACTTTTAACAATAAAATGAGCTAAAATCCGTTAAAAGCTCTGTTTACTAAAGTTACTGTATTGCACTATTTTAAATCAAGCGTAACTATTGAAATCGACGTATCTGCTTTTGTAAACAATCACTTCAATCGACCATTTGTCTTAACTGCTAACTCACCCACACAAACAAAAACCATCATCAGGTAGGGAAATATTTACCCTACTAGCTGGTGTTGTTAGTTTCTGTGAGTGAGCTAGCAGTTGCCACAAATCGTCGATTGAAGTGATTGTTTACAAAATGAAATACGTCGATTTGAATAGTTACGCTTGAAATATTGTTTGTGCAAACGTCATCATTGTCAAAAATGTTTATACCTACTAGGGTGGTTTGAAATATCGATTGCAAGTCAGGTCCTGATCATTCTCCCAAAATTTGAGCTCGTTTGGTTAAGAACTTCTACTGCACTGGCCCTTTGAAGTTAATATGACAATTACTATCCAGCTTTCCATGCTCGGTAATGGCGGCCTGTTTGTATGAATAAATGTATCCTTCACTGTGCTTTTTGACACTATCTGGATGTTCGAATTTCAACCCCTTCCCTTTCCCTCTCCCAGGAACAGAAGAAAATGGAACAACATACGCCCTCCAGTTAGTGTCAAAAAGCACAGTGAAGGATACATTTATTCATACAAACAGGCCGCCATTACCGAGCATGGAAAGCTGGATAGGAAAAGTTAGTTTTTTTTTTCGAGGGGACGACTCTATCTACACTGCAGGAAAGATTGTGTGTGCTGTGGCTAGCTGCTCGCACGCTGAGTAGATCGAAAGGAGATTGATAACGATTCTGAAGATTTCCTGCAAAAGATGATGCGCGAAGCATGTAGATGCAAGAAATGCAAGAAGATTTTTCGAAGATTGATTCGCTAGTGTGAGATTTTTTGAGAATCTAAAATTGAGATTTAGATGTGTCGCCCCCCTTGGGTTTTTCTGCTCAACATCCTAGCCAGTGCTGTTAATTTTTATATCATTCGATTGAAGATGAATCAATACAACAATTCAATCAATTATGTGAAAATGATTTCTCCCATGCCCCTTCTCAATCGAACCTCATCGTCACTGTCCATTGAGTCACTCACTATCATTTGAGTATGGAGTATAAAATAAACCCAGCTGAATAGTCCCAAACATACATGTCTACCCAATGTCGGATCAATGTAATGCTAATTTAAGGTCGATGTCAACCCAATGTCGAGTTCATGTCGGTTCAATTTTGGGTTAATGCCGGGTCAGCATCGGGTTGGGGTTTGGTAGAAGTCAGGTTGGTGTCGGATTGGTTTAACTTTTTCGCCGAAATGCCGACCATAGCTCCACAGACAAACAGACATAACACATTGAATATTTCTCACTGTAAAACATCGTCGCTAAAACATTACCGCCATCTGTTGAGTACACTGTGGTGGGCACTGCGCTGAACAGATGGCGGTAGTGTGTAAACGTCAAACGCAAGGGAATTGCCTATGCGCGCCACAGGTGGCGATACTACCAACTACGATACTTTTATATTGTCCGTTAAATGCTTGTTCGATGAACAATTTGCTAGTGTTATGTCTGTTTGTCTGTGATAGCTCTGTTTGTGTGTAGGTTACACTCAATTGAATGATATCCAGTGTTTCTCAGATGACATTGATCCATGCCTTCGTCAAATGACTAAGCAAACTGATATCAGCCATTCGAAAGAGGTTCCTTTGATAGCTGATTTTCTCATTTTCATCAAAAATGTTCAATTGATTTTGATAATTTACAGCACTGAATTCCTAGCCCTCCACGATAATGATATACGGAAAAGCTTGCTATCTGTACAGTATGAGTTCACAACCAAATGAGCTCAAATTTTGGAAGAATGATCAGGACCCTTGTTAGGACCTAATTTGGAATCGATTGAGCATAATCGGTATCTTGAACCTACCTTACTACTGTGTTACCTGACTTATAACGAATATACGTTGTATACGAGTACCCCGAATACAACGTATGACTCGTCTAATTTTGCATAGCATTTGCAATGAAAAATTAGACGAACTATACGTTGTATTCGGGGTACTCGTATACAACGTATATTCGTTATAAGTCAGGTAATACAGTAGCGGTTCTGATGTACACACACAACAACACACCTTCCCAAGCAACACACAACCCGCATAAACGCGAACCATAACTTGACCTTACCGAAAATGGTTAAAAATTGTTTATAATCCCTGCTAGACTTCAACTGAAATTGTTATGGAACTTTACATGAATGTTTGTGTGATAAAGTTTCAACCTTATGTATTATGGTTTTTTGGAAGTGGACCTTACAAAAATAATGGAGTGTTAAGAACCATTACCTTTCAAAATAGTTGTTTTCTCCATACATTTTCGGACAGAGAACTATATTACTATACATATATGGTTTTGGAAGTTTGCTCCATGAATATGTGTTGCTTGGGTTGCCACTATTTTTAAATTTTGTTTGCAACGTTTGACTTTTGTTGACTCATAACGAATATACGTTATATCCGCTGGAATATCCAATTTAGCATATTGGTAGAAATTAGTACACAAATTTTGATTTTTAAAAGTTGATCTGAAAGAAGTATCTCCTCCAAAATTGGTCTTAATCGGCTGAATACAATTTCACGTTTGTAAGTTTTCTCGGTCACTTGGCACGGATTAACCCATATCTAGCATAAGTAGGATATCTACCTCTTTCTCCATACCATTTATTTCAACAAAAACAGTATATAGTGTGTTCAATTGTTTTTAATTCCTTCTTAGGGATGATGCATATATTATGTCACACTGTAAGGACGAAGGGTACACACTGTACGATTGTAAGATTGTAATTTAGCGTGACATAATTATTGCACTTATTTTTTCAAATGGAATCTCTGATTTTTAACGTATTTTTGATTACTGATATACTAATTGATAAACTGATCTACGAAGATGACCAATACCAATTTTGTTTTTACCTGACATATGCTGCTTCGACCGTTTTTTCTCACAGGACGATGAACCTTTGCGAGTATCTGCACATTATTACCTATTCCCAAGAGATACTAATCGACCTTACGTATGTAACAAGTAACTGTTAATCGATAATAGACATGTGCATCACAGCATGGCGTACGACGTCATTGACCTACTCGAATGGCGTTCCATTAGCCCACTGAATCCATTTCATCAAGTTTTGCCATGCATGAGAATTTATTTTACAGCACAATTTATTTGCTTTACTTTTGCAACCCAATTTAGTGCTTTGAGACTGTCTTTTACACATTCGTAGACTTCATAGCTTACAAATACTGGTCCAAATTGACAGTCTTAAAATCCAATTACATGCCATAACATTAAATTCATTGCATTCGTATCCAGGGCGATGGAGACAGTCTACAGAAAGAAGCGGAGGCACGCCGAAGGCAGATGGTACGGAAGAAACACGTGGCGCGCAATCAACGCGGTATCATCGGAACTCCGCCTGCAGTTCGTGGTCGCAAACATGAGAATGTTCAAACCGAAAAGTACCTTGAAGAGGTTGGTTCCAAAACTAATCCCTCATAAATTAGCCAATAAATTAAACCCTTTTCTTTATGTAGCTTTTCGTCCGACCACCAGAAATTGATGCTGGATGTCAGACGGATCTATTCCTGCACAGACCACCCTCACCCCCATATGTGCCGCAGAAGCTCGGTCGAGACGTTGGAACAGAAATTCTCGAGGGTGAACTCTTTGACTTCGATACCGAAGTGCAGCCCATTATCGAGGTTCTCGTGGGACGTACCATAGAGCAAGCGCTGATCGAGGTTCTACACGAAGAAGAAATCGCCGAAATGAAACGCCAGCAGCAGCAGATAATGGCAATCAGAGAAGCAGAAATAGCCGAACTTCGACGGCTTGAGTTGGAGGATCGAAAAATTCAGGCCGAAAAGGAACGCAGAATACTTCAGGATAAGATTGCCCAAGATCTTGATAGGGAGATGCAGGAACGCATCACGGCATCGAAATTACTGCAAGGTAGGATCGATGACCTACTGCCAGACATTCTGAATACCGTAGAGAACATCAAGGATGACAAAGATCGCGAAGAGTTTGAACGTCAAATTACACCCTGGTTGGCAAAGGAGGTCGCCCATGAGATTGGACAAATGATAGACTCCAAAGAGCTTCTGGAAGGTAATTTACGACCATTGTGTGTTTTAAATGAATATTCTAAAAATAAAATTCCTACATTTTCAGGTATAATACGTGAAGTGCTTATTCAAAAGAAACATCATTTGTTTGGTACACCAACGCCTGAAATACACGATGATATTCCGGAAGACGAGGTTGATTTCGAAGAACATCAACCGCAAGACGAAAGTGAAGCTCAGGAAGAAGAAGCAAATGAAGAAGAAGAAGTGGAGAATGTAGAAGAACAGGCAATAGAAAACGGAGATTCCGAAAAAGCTGTGTGATAAGTTGAGCTTGAAGAAGATGCAATCCTATACTAATGTTCAAGAAACGTAAATTACTCGAAGAAGTCTCAAAATTTCTACTTTGATATCAAACTATAATTGATCCCAGTTTGTGCAATTAGAACCGTGTACGTATATTAAATTATTTTTGCCCTAAACTTCAGCAAGTTCAGCATGGAATTCAACCACACCTGTAATATATTTATCAGTAGGTTTTGTCTGTTAGATTCATTGTTAATCAATAAACAAAACTATATATTTTTGATTCAAGCCTGATGCCTTTGTTCAAAATATCACTACCAGCCGCAAGTGAGTGTGTATAGGTGTCGGGGTACTTAGGGTGGAATTTACGTGGGTGTCTTTTGTGTTTTAAGAATATGTGCCCGAGTTTGCCTTTAATCGCATGTCAGTCCCATAAGGATTTTCGTCGGGGGCGACCCCGGCGTAGTGGTTGGCATACATGCCTCTCACGCTACAGTCACGAGTTCAAATCTCGGATAAGTCACGAATGACCCAAGAGTGTTAAAGTGACTATAATAAAAAAAAAACGTCAATTTTGAGTTAACAACGCTATTTACTATCAATTGGCATCTACTTTCATATTATGTAGTCAAACCAACAATCAATACGAAACTATCGATTTTAAATTGGCTCACTACTTGACTAGCCTATTGGTCCCAAGCAAATCGATTAACGTACCCCATTCTAGTCGAAATTCTAGTACTACACAATGATTGCTTTAATTCGCTATGAAAGTTTGACAGATAAAATGAGGGATTAGTGGATTTTCCTATGTTTCGAGGGGTGAATCGATTAGCTTGGGACCGAAGATAGTACCAGAGCTGAGCCAAAAAGTTGAGCACGTTTCTTCAGGACCTACTAGTCTTAGAGTTACCGCTATGGCTTGCTTGGCACACACATGTTTGGTCTCGAGCTGCTCATTTACTAATAACTTTGCACACAGTAGATAAAACATATGTCGTTTTCGTATTTGCGGTGTAGCTACACCGATGCTACACCGCCGAAAACCGAAAAATTTTAGGGTGTAGCTATCGGTTGCACCTTTATTTAAAAACAAATGATGATGTGCTGTCAATGACTCGCGCTTATTGCTGCTTACACTACACCGGTGTAGTGTTGTAAAAACAAAAACGACAATAGATCTTTCTGAAGCAGTCAATATAATAGAGTTTAAGCTTGTAATAGATACGTAAAACATTGTAGATTTTAGTTCTAGTAATTGTATTTGTTTTTGCGTTGCCAAAATGAAGTAAGAAATGCTTGCTACACATCTCGTTCTTTTAGCGTAAAAATTCCATGGTGTTGACTCAAAACCATGTGATTTAACTACTCTTTGCATGTCTATAGTAAACTATGATCCTACTCTATGATCTACTTCAAAGAAAATCTATTTTCAACAACTGAGTGAACAGCTTTTAACAAATCAGGCATAACATTTGATAACGGCACAAAAGCATTTGTAAACAAACTTTCTAAGGCCCTTTACACGCGAACCAAAGCCCCTATCCGATGATGTTGTTGGTTTGCGTGGGCGTACTTTGGTTCCTGGTTCGCATGTAAAGAGCCTTAGAAAGTTTGTTTACAAATGCTTTTGTGCCGTTATCAAATGTTATGCCTGAAATGAGCAGTCGTGTATGTAAAACTGTGCATGCCAAGCGATCTCGATCCTAATTGGTTGTTATCTAAGAGGAAGAGGTGACAATTGACCACTTTGTCATGCAGTTTTGGCGTGACTTTCTACCAGCGGTTTCACAAAACTGGACCAATTAATTTCTATTTTTTTATGAAACGCACAAATGTTGGCTACTTTTCTAGAAGAAACAATATCAAAATAATGTTTTATTTCAAAGTTCGAGTGGTAGTAAATGTCATTTTAACTGCTCGAATGAAGTGGTTAATTGACTTCTTCCTCTTTTATAAGCTATTTTACGTGACGTCTTGATGACAGTTCCTGGCGGGCCACTCGATCGCGCTCGAGGCATTGTTATTGTTTACGTCTGGTGTTTTTGTTTTGATTTTGGTCGTGGTATGTCAACAAATCGGTTCGCTGGTAAACGTCAAAATAGGTAACAGAAAAAAAAAAACAGCTGACTCGAAACGTCTCGTAAAATGCCTTATTTCTATCTCTATCTCTATCTTTATCTATCTCTATCTCTATCTTACGCACATGAAATCGGCCAATCAGGAGCTGGTTCACGTTTGACAGAAAAAGTGGTTCATTTTCGCCCCCGTATTGTCACCTCTTCTCTTAAGGCCCACGCACATTAGATCCGGATCGGACGCGTTGCGGCAAAGTGACAGCTAAATCAATTGTCTAACTGTCAAATTTACGTCAACGCAACGCAAACGGATCTAATGTGGGTGGCCCTTTAGGTTGTTATTATGTATCTTTCTTTCATGCGCGCGAAAGGGAGAAATGTATTTTCGCGTGGGTAAGTTTCCTATGGTGTGAGAATGTTTATTGTCGGTCGCGTGCTTCGAGTGGATGTCAGCGTTTACGTTTTCGTTCTTTGTCAACCGTTCTGGCTGCTTCATGTATGGTATTCGCCTTGACACCAGTCCCGAAGTGACGTTTCTTCACACACATTTTGACAGTTCCTTATGGGGTTTTGCGTTGGAGTGAGAGAATAAGAAAAAGTCCGCCATGTTTCACACATAGACTGACAGTTACATGTGAGATTTCTCCATATGAGTAAAGAGTTACAGAGCTCTCGTCAACGCCAATGGGAATATGATAGGTACACGCTATTTTAAAACTACCCAAATTTGGGAAGAATCCACCCAGATCGGTCAACACTGAATCTACCCAAAAATGGGTAAACTGTGCTGGGAGTGACAAGTTGAGAACATCGACATGAATCCGATCGACTTTGTTCATTTGTCAACTTGTCACTCCCAACATAGTTACCCATTTTTGGGGGTGGATTCTACCTAAATTTGGGTAGTTTTGAAATAGTGTGTATGCAGTTAGGATCACAAACGAAGTGACAGACGACTAACTGGCGAAGAAATCAATTAAAATAATGTGGTTCGCTGTAATAGAATTTTCTTAGAAGCTTGTGCCATCATCCACCAGATGTGATAGTATTTTTGTTTTGGTTTTGCACAAAGTTGATTTTGTGTACAATGATTCTTTGACAGTGTGCAAAGAGTACGTATCATTTTGTCATTTTTTTATGCATTTCAGTTTTGAGTAGAGTGAAAGAGATAGAACCAAAACATTCTAGTACATTTGGTGAAAATGCTAGTTCAATCCAGTAGTAGTGTTGCCATGTGGTTCAATCCAGTAGAAGTGGTGTTGCCATGTGGTACACTGAAAAATTGCAATAGCAGGTTAGTCACCAAAGTTTTCGAGCCGCTCCGTCTGTCACTTCGTTTGTGCTACTACTGGATTGCACTAGCATTTTCACCAAATGTACTAGAATGTTTTGGTTCTATCTCTTTCACTCTACTCAAAACTGAAATGCATAAAAAAATGACAAAATGATACACTCTTTGCACACTGTCAAAGAATCATTGTACACAAAATCAACTTTGTGCAAAACCAAAACAAAAATAGTATCCCATCTGGTGGATGATGGCACAAGCTTCTAAGAAAATTCTATTACAGCGAACCATATTATTTTAATTCATTTCTTCGCCAGTTAGTCGTCCGTCACTTCGTTTGTGGTATTAGTACAAGACACTGAAGAAGTCTACACATTGTAGACTAAATACGCGTATCTGTCAAGGATAAGCAAATAAGGTAGTGGAATTAAATGGAAGTTATTTTCCATTTTTTTGTAGATGATAGGGCATGTCATTTTGCATATAAATATTATATCATAGCGGGAACGTTACCAAATCACGCTCTGAAAGTGAAAGTAACAGGTTTAATGAGTCAAAAACATATTTAACAACCTCTTCTTGTAACTTACAAGTACAAAATATCATTATAACATCCAATAGAGATTAGTGACGTTTAACTCACGCACACTAGCGGAAGCTACGCCGTGTAAAGTTGTTTATTATTTTCCTCTGGCTAACCTAAAAAATATATGAAAGTAGATCTGTCAAAATGAGTTTGACATCGATTTGTTATGTATTTTCCTCGGATAGTCACTAACACGCTCTCATATATCCTACCAATACAACCAGACGTGAAAACCTCTATGGTTTCATAATTTCAAAAAAACATGTTTTTTTTTATCAAGTGAGTGGATGCAACCTTGAGAAACTCGCTTTTCTGATGGTCATAGGGTTACTAGAAGTTGAAATTAAAAATGAATCCCATTAATATGCACGAGGACTCATTTTACAGTGTTTTGTTTTACTGTGAAAAAAATTCAATGCGTTATGTCTGTTTGTCTGTGCTGTAATCATACCATACCCGAAACGGATTTCTCATATGTACAAAAAAAACGTTGTTAAATCCATTTCGAACGGCCTACAGAATAGGGATGCATACTTGGCTTTGGCAATACCTTAACCTATTATCGTCAGGGGGTAAACAAAGTCCTAAAGCACTCAAATTTGGCCAATAGTTGCTCTGAAACACAATGTATCCACATGCGAAAATTGAGCTCTCAAGGACGTTGTTTACCCCCCCTGACGATAATAGGTTTAAGGTATTGCCGAAGCCAACTTTTCCCCTATGTATGTTACTTTCTCCTGTTCGGGTAGCGCCGCAAATGTATACGTACGTAATATGTGACTTCCCCTCAATCACACACATCTTCACTGCTCGTCAGCAGCGAGCATGAATGAAGCGTCCTCCCTGAAAACGTTCAAAACAGAAAGGAGAATGAAAGAACAAGCGCTAATTAAATACCCCGCAGCACGATGACGTCATCTCGACTATACACGCCATGTATATAGCACAAACGGAGCACAACGATTAAAATGCTGCATGTGTAACATAACCTCTCAACCGCACTGTCACTCAAAATACATGGATTCAGGAGACTCAGATTACCATGTATAGCAAAAAATGGAGCACAGGTAGTGATATAGCAATGAAAACGCATACTAATAAATTTCGTAGTATTGAATAACTTTATTTAAACCAAATTTGATATTAGTCATATTGATTCACAGCTTAGTTTTATTCCTACAATTAGTGTTATTGTATTTATACTTTGTATTCCAATCATAATATTAACTAAATCTACGTTCGCATGGGTCATGGTTTATAACTAATCGGATATAACTACTACGCTGAGAGAGGTTATGTTGCATTGAATTCCATGTAGTGAAAAAAACAGAGCAATATTCCGGAATATTTACAAGATATACATGCCATGTATATGTCATTTGCCAATCAATGCTAACTCCAGTTATACCAGTACATGGTATACCTAACCTAGAAAATACTAATCGCTGACCTGACCTCTGACAGAAATTACCAAAACTACTTTTTAGGTTATGTTCAAATGTTTTGATTCTGAAAATGAGGTTATGCTTGTTTGTTTACACGACGGCGGCAAACTGTCTGACTCCGAAATCGATTTATACATGGCGAATTTGAAAAGATCAACGACCTTGGATGTATACAAAATGCAATCAGGAGATTATTGTGACATTGTCCGGATTAATAATAAGAAAGGAAGTTCAACGGTACGATTTTGAATGTATTTCCGGTTTAAAAAAAAAACTTTAAAAATACACATCTAGCTAAATAAAATGTGACACTGATCACTCAGATTAGAGCATAGAAAACACTGAAAACGTGTTCAACAGCTCTTGAACTTATTCCTCTTGCTTTTCTCAAGACCTGATGTAAAAGAAATGATCATGCGTATAGGAACAAATCGCCGACAATTTTTTTTCGCGATCCTATCTTCAAACAACTGGCGGTACCTTATGCTTCTTAGACCTGCTTTCATCCATGTTATTTTATGGGGTAGCTTAGCATTTCCATCACTTTCATACATTGCCCGATACTCTAATTTTGGGTAGTAACTGCTTTATTTGGGCTATCACTTATTTTTGCCACTTTTGTCCTTAAACTACAGTCTGCACTACTCGATTTGTTGGCCCCAGCGGTTTCAAGAGGCCGTTTCTGTGATGCAGCAAGCAACGATTGTCCACTGTTGCCGGTGGTGGAATTAGTTAGTGCACCCGTCACTGAACCCGCACTGCCGGCCGAATTAAATCGCTTTAGTTTTATGGTTTTCCTTTGCACTGGACCAACTACTTTGCTAGATTCCTCCTCCGTGAGACGCTCGTTCCCGGATGATTCGGTTCCAGGAACGTATTCCTCGTCCTCCATTTCCTCCTCCTCGAATTCTGCGTCGTTGAAGTTTTCATCCGGATCGATTATTAGTTTACCTGTCATTAGTGTGTATACATTTTCGTTAGAAAGGAATTAACTTTCCAGGAATAATTATCTTACCATTTAACGTTGGAAATTTAATGTCCGGTAACGGTAGACCCTCTGGGTTGTGTTTTTCAATAAGCTCCTTAAGCAAGTTGGATATATCCTCTCGCTTTTTTGTCACAATCAGCGTATCGAACCAGTCGTGCAATTTAATCGGCGTGCGGTAATCTTTGATTGGATCCTATTAAAAGTAATAATAAGCATTAACAAGTGTGATCACCCTCGCCCGTCAAATTAAACACGTCCAACGACTTACCAGGAAAAAGTGCTCCACGTACTGTAACAAGTACAAACCACAGTCGGTGAAATTATTCTGCTGCGGTACTTTCACGCAGTGGCCGGGCATGTTGGTTTTGTTGAATACTTTCGGAACTTTGTTCGGCATCTTGTTCTTGTACTCGCACGTTAGGTAGTCTCTCAGCGTAGCCACCACACGACTTCGGGATGCACCAGTCAGCGAATCGAAAATAAGAATTATGGGCCTGGAAAGAAGGTTACAAGTTATAGTTAGATTGCCAAAACAAAATACAATTGTTAATCAATTCTTACTGTTTTATTGGTTGTTTAGTATCAGTCGGCTCTTCGTCTGTCTCATCTGCATCGCTCGCCAGCTCGCTGTCGTCTCCCTCGGCTTCGTCCCGTTCGCTCTCATCATCGCCGATATTGATAGCTTCCATTTCCCGTTTCGAAACCGGTGTGATGGTTGTGTTTCCTATCTGAAGGCTTATATTTTTGTTCTTCGGGGCAGCCTTTTTCCGTTTGATAGGCGTGGGAGTATTGCTATTTATAGATAGTGGCATGTCCTGGCTAGGGAAGCAAATGATAGCCAGGAACCAATGCGATTGCTCGTTGATAGGAATTATGATAAAGTCCTTCTCGAAAATATTTTCTTTTTTCGTCCAGCTAGCCACACGGGCATGACGCTTTTGAGCGGCAGTTAGTTTTTGATCTTTTTCCTGCCCTCGATGCCGCGTTCCGATGGTTGTCAAACGTTTATAGAAGAACGTACTAAAAATGTGTATACTCTTTCGCTCCTCGTCTTTCAGCAGCTCCAGTTTCAAATAGTTCAGGTAGAAGTCAATTATTACATCATTGAGATACTGATCGATTGCTAAACACATGTAGTCTTCAGTATTGATAGAAATGCCTCCTTTGCCTTGTGGATAGATGAGAATCTTTCTAATTTCTGCAATATCACCCGAATTTCCACTCGCAGTGCTGTGTAGAAAACATAATATACTTGATTAGATCCCCCGTAATCGAATGTTTAGTCGCATACGTACTTATTTGAATTGTTCTCGGTTCCTTTACTACTACCGCATGAACGCATCAGCAATTCGTTGGCGTCCCGCGCAGAGATTTCTTCGATTTTCTCAGTCAAAATGATACTTTTTACAATTGATTTCGATTCCTCGGTGATGCGATCCATAACCAGGGTAATGCGTCGATGAGCATCATCCTGGCGACTCACTGGGTTGAAGTAAGGTACTAAAATCAAATAAGACAGTATTAAACCTCGATTATCATGCTATGCCATTCTAGGGCTGGAGCAACCACTTACACTTATCCTCTGGCAGGCCCATTTCCAGGCTATCCCGGATGTAAGCACCACATGAAGGCAGAGTGTACAGGAATATAACGTTCAATGCCTTCGAGAAGTGCACTACGGCTTTGACAATCTCCTGCAGCTGTAGATCCAAAATGCATTTCTCGTTGGAACGCTTTACATTCGGTGCGATGATGCGAACCCCTCGCGAAGACACCACCACCTGTAAATAATAAATCGCATTAAGAATCATTACTCATATGAAAAATTGACAAAACTTGACGAAACCCGAAACTATAACAAACGATCAGAATTTAATCATTTTTTTTTTATTATTATTTCTTCTCCCGCAAAGGTCACGAGTTCAAATTTCATCGCCGGACAAGAGTCACAAATGACCTGATATGTGTTAAAGTGACCATAATTTAAAAAATGCAGAATGAGTGTTTCGCTCAAATTGACAGTTATTTTGTTTATTTATTATTTCACAAACCAAGTCAAACTAAGTTTCTCCATAGACACAAAGTCTAGCACTAATGGCGATAAGTTTTTTTTTTTAAATTCTTTATTAAAGAGATTTTTAGCCTTAGGCTAGTTCATCTCTATAATGGCGGTAAGCTCCACCTCGGATTAACTTTAATACCGACCCAGTTTGGATAATCTGCCAAATGTTTGCTTAGAGTCGTGTTTGATTAACTCTGATGACGACATTCAACCAGCCGGACATTATTAATCGGGATTTAATCCGAGGATAATACCGGTTGGAGCTTACCACCATAGCGTTAGCGTTGTTATGATATACTTCGTAGATTGGATACTAGCGACACTCTCATCTCTTCTGAAATTCTCAGTTAGACTACTTTCAGGAATAATGCTCGGGAGTAAACATTGGTTCCAATCTAAACAAGAGTAACAGAAGCATAACTGTCGCTATTCCCGGCCACGCCCATCTTTACCATAACTAGGGATAGGGAAGGAAATGTTGATGTAGTACTTAACGAGATGCCACCGACTTAGCGACACCCTCATAAGTGCTACGGAGTTGGAGGGTTGGGTAGGGTATTCTGTTAGGATTCACCTCAAGTTGGCGATGCAACCATATGTATTGTTTATTTGTTGTTTATTTAATCTCTCGATAGCCATTTTGTTTAGTCATCATGAATTTTAAGAGTCATGACGGAGAGCTTGGGATTAAACCCATGATTTTCTGCTCAGTAAGCAAAATCGATCCCTCCAGGGTCATCGAGCATCTCATAATCCACAGCGCTTTGCGTCAAAGACGAATATATGGATGAACTATCTATTATTGAATAACTATTATTTACGATAATTACATGAAAGAAATAAAATATAAACAACAAACAAAACGTGACTACTAAAATCTCAAAAAGATATTCTCACAAATATATTTCACGCAACCAGGAATCTCAAAACCATTAGACGCCTATAATGATACATTGCACGTGTTAGACATAAAAGAAGAGTCCAAAAAGCAAGCGTCAGACACACAAAACCCACCAAATCCACTTGCAGTCACGAATCGCGAGCGCTCACGAATCATAAAACCGCTGACTGCGACACTCTGAAAGCGAAATTGACAGGCTCTATGCGTCAAACACCCGCCCTCCAATCTCCTCCCGCATCCAACAACACAAATCTCCATTAAAACATCTAACGAATTCAAAACTCCGAAAATCACTCATCTATAGCAAGGGAGTGCAACCATTCTTCATGATACACTTTTTCTGCCTATCTTTCTATTAGGCCTGTGGACATGCGTTAGCTTCGAAACTTCTAACCAAACTAGGAAAATTTTTAGATCACAAAAAAAAACTTGAAAAAAACTTTCAAAGGTTATTAGAAGTAAAATAAATATTGATTATTTTACGCAAAAACGAGCAAGTAATATTAAATCTCTTGTATCGTATGCTAATGCTAATTGACTGTAACAAAAATTATATGCTTAAATAAAATAAAATATTAATAAAATGATGTGCAAAATTTACTAGAAGATCATTACTTTATTGGTGAAAAGTTTCTAATATGCCCTCCCAGTTCCTCTGTATACAGAACAAATCTGATACTGTAATCAGAATTGCTCAGTCTGCATGAAGCAACTGATTTCATCAAGGAAGTTCTATTAACAACCAAGAATTAATCGTTTGAGGCATACTGAAGCATTAAGAAGGTGATATGTGTCACTATAGGAAATCATCATCGTTGCAAATATAAAGAAATTAAACATAACCCTTTGCTTCAGTACCGTCAACCTCCATGTCCATGGGTAGGGAATCACATTGGAAATGTTGATGCGGACCAAAAGTGCATTTGAACCCGCTTGTTAGAGTATATTAACAGATTAATCATCACCGTATATTTGTTTGCTCTGAGTTAAAAGTAAATTAAATGATTTAGCTAATCCTCGGCTTTGGATTGAATTGCGCTCACATTTTCCCCACCAAACGCTGTAAAATGAAAACGAAATTAATTTGATTTAAAAAATTAGAAATTTAGGGCTAAAGTGTAGGATACTAATTAACTAATACTTTTTCTAATTGTTTAATAAACAGTGTATCTTTCGAACCGCAACATCTGTTAAACAATTCGATTTGTGTGGTCCCAGCTCTTTAAAATTACCCCGTCAAAAGGCGGCTTTGGGCAGTAGAAAGTTAAATTTACAATATCTTTGAATAACTTTCATGAAATTTTACTTGAAGCTAGAATTATTTTTAATTTTGGTCAAACTATGCTCTGACACATAGTGTATCCGTGTATCTTCATGCAAACAATAAGCTCAAGGACTTAAGTCAGCCCCTGACGATAATAGGTAAAGGTATTACTCAAAATGTAAATCAAAATAGACCCCTGAGCCCATTCAAATCCAATTTTTCAATTCCCGGTTTTCCCTGGTTATGAAAAACAACCCAACCATCTGTCATTTAACCGATTCAGTCCCAAGGGGTCATATATTCACTAACACTAATAAGCCAGGTCTGGCCTATAGTCGCTATATTCATAGTCTGGCGGATAGAATTTCGATCAACAAAAAGCGGAACTAATTCAATATATTTTAGACCAATAATTGAAAAGGTACTATCATTTTGGACTCTCCAAAGCATCCCGGAGATCTGATTTTGAAGTTCTGCAGACTCTACAAGGCATTTTTCGATTACTCTATGTTAGAACGGGTAATGCTTTGTTCAGACTACGGGACCCGTACAGGAGGACGAATCACAAAAGGCCGAAACACAAAAGGCCGAAAATATTCTAAGGTACCACAAAAGGCCGAAAATCGAAAAGACCGAAAGCCAGAAAGGCCGAAAACAAAAAAGGCCGAAAATTTATCAAAAACCGAATTTGTTGATAACCGCATCCAAACAATCTGTTATCCTTTCTGCTCGCACAACTGACCCGGCTCGTTAAATGGTTGAATGCAAAATGAAGCCAAGATGAAATATATAGGTGTTCTCACTTGCTGACTTTTTGGAAAAAACCAGTAAGTGGTAAGAGAAGGGTAAGGAAATAAGAGATGCGATAGAGGTGAACGGTTTATTTACGCAACATTCTGATTGGGTAGCGAAATGCGCAAGCAGTTGAATGTGTGTAACTAGAACGTTCAGCAAAACGGAATAAGAGAACTATCGCTGCGAATGAAGATTTTCGATTTGAGAATAGGGTAGAGAACTACTTCGGCATAATCGCCCATTTTGGGCCTATCAAGCAGAAAACTTCAAATAAATCCATGATTTCGAAGCTAACAAGTCAATTATGCGTTTGGTACGATACTTCAGTTAATAAGCTACGGAACGAAGTCAATGAGAACGCGTGATATGAAGGTTTGCACCCAATATTCTCAAACACAAATGAAGCGCTCCGACCGAATCAATTTTTATCTTCATCCGATAAGCCGAAGTAAATTCATTGGCGTTTCAATGCGTCAGGCCGAGATTAGAATCCGTAGGCCAAGTTTGGAGTCAAGAAGCAGTGTTAGACTTTTGACAATATCTCAACGATTGGTTTCTCTTTATCAAATCTTACGGTACATACGAAAAAGTACATTAATTTGGAAGCCATCAGTAATAACAACATTCCGTTTGGTGCTAAACTGCGCTAGATTAAGAATGACTAAGTGCGGGTTGTGCTTAATAGGTCGGAAATGGGGTAGTTAACCCTACCTCCCATATTGAATTTCATCTTGAACGAAGCCATTATAGTCATTGCATACTCAAACATCTGGAAAAATAAAGCTAACTATCACTTTCTCTCTCATTCAGCATCTGAAGCCTTTCTGCTCTTACAACTGAGTCACCTCGTTGAATTGTCCGCATTCACACAAAACGAAGCCATCCTGTCATAAAATCGTCGTTAAACACTCAAACAAACATAAAACTACAGCTACCCAAATTTTAAGTGTTTTTTTTTTTTTCATTACGGAAATCGAATGGCTATGAAGTAGCTTCTATTATATTTTATTTCGAAGATGCAGAATAATAATTATTGTAACTTTCCTTTATAATGTAAATAAATTTATTAAAAACAAATTAACAAAAGCCCGAATCGGGAAATCGACAAAGTGGAGCGGTGCGAACGCGCGCGAACGCACCAGTCCACTTTGTCGCTTTCCCGGGCTTTTCCGACCTTTTGTGTTTTCGGCCTTTTGTGATTCGGCCTTCTGTGATTCGGGCTTTTAATTGAAATGTTAAACTGCCATTCGGGCCACCCGCATAAAGAAAACACAGAAGTAGTCGTACGTCAAAAACCAAAAACAGGAGAAAACGTAAACTCTCTTCACCAGTTTCTCAGACACAGGTACATTCGGATTTCGCTTGTTGGACTAACTTTAAGTGGGCTACGTTTCAATTGGGTTCCCAAGTAAAACGTCATTTCTAACAGTGCTGATTCCTTTTCGAAATTTCGACCGGCTTCATGCAAAAACCGGCAAACTAGTGGAGTAATGATACAGATTATTTCAATGCGGTACAACGAGTTGCTTCCTTGATGGTTGTCAATGATATGGCTGAATGAGAGGTGAAGAGATCCACCCGAGACCTATTTCAACCGCAATATTTGCTTCAGGAGATATAACAGCATCGAAAAGAGTACCCTGGGAAATCGTAGAATATATTAAAATGAAATATAATCATTACAATCCAATGACATTTGTGTGCATGCATCTGACATTGTATATTGCACCAAAAGAGTAGGGTAGGGAATATGGGTACTCGCTTTACAACTGATTTTATGAGATTGAGCAAATGTTTTTGGATAACCCATCCGAAGAACTCGAGAGATGGGAAACTCCGAAGATATTTCAGTCTTTATCTTTATTTTCATTGATATAAGTGAGGACCGGAAAGCATACAGTAAGCCCCCCCTCCCCATATTTAACTACGCATATTAAATGAAGCACATGTTTTTGAATACATCTGAACAAACCAACTTGACAAGATCAGAAACACCGAAGTTATTGCAGTTTGAAGCTTTACTTCCATTTATATTAGTGAGGAGGGCGAGATGAGATTGAAAAATTGTTTGTGAATAATTCATCTGAACATACCAAATCGATAAGATAAGAAACTCCGATATTATTTCAGTTTGGAGTCTGACTTTCATTGGTTGGCAGAAAAGGGGATTTTTGGCATTTAAATCGAAATATTGATCTTTGAACAGCTATAACTTTTTTTAGGGGCATTCTAGCACCACACATCCTTGAGCAAAGTTGTTAGGCTGGGCCATACTTTAACGTATTTAGATGCGTGGTTTGTGTGGTCCCTAGTAATAAAGATGCAAAAAAGTAGGTTTTTCCATACTAATTTCCATACAAACTTCAAACGCAATGCGGAAAGCCGAGTTACAAACAATCGTCCACAAATTTTGCACAGTAAATCTCAAACACCCAAATTTAACAAAAATAAAATTGTTCTGAAAAAAATATCATGATGACCCATCCTAATAGACGGAGGTGTTTTCTAATGACAAATCGTCATTAGCAGCAATATTGTTCTTTGTCCGTTTTGCTGCCCAAAGTCTCCTAGTTCCGCTTTTCAACTATCCTGATGTCCTATACACATCTAATTTATGCAACAATACACGAAAATTACAACTTGCATAAAGATAGAGAGAGAGAAGGATTAGTAATTTCCATTTAATTCCACTACCTTATTTGCTTATCCTTGCCAGATACGCGTATTTCGTCGTATTTGTGCAGACTTCTTCAGTGTCTTATACTAATTAGTACAAGACACTGAAGGCAAAATACGCGAGGATAAGCAAATAAGGTAGTGGAATTAAATGGAAATTACTAATCCTTCTCTCTCTATCTTTATACAGGTATTCCACTAAGACGCCCACATTCATCAGGATACAACTTGCATTTAATGATGTTACAAGTTATGTATATAATATTCCTCGCTTTGAACAAATTGGTATCAATCACAAGGAGATTTTAGGATGCACTTATGAAAATTAGACGAGGCATGTAACCAAACGTACAACAGTTTGAACAGAGGTCCTGAATATTTGCATGATTTCTTTATATGTTTGAGATCATCTCGTCAAGAAATTTAACATTGACCAGATGCCTGACAGAAATTATCAGATGCTCTTCCCATCAACGTGCTGTGAAATTATGGAATGAAGTGCCAATGAATGACAAACAAGCTGTAGGACGAGGCAAGATTTCTACCTTACGGTTACTATCATGTTATATGTTATAATCGTAATTAATACATTAAAATATGGTATGTCCTAGTTCATTAATGTCTTCTCTAGCCCTAGGGTTAATATAGTTCAATGTATTTAAATTTGAAATTTAAATTTAAAGGAGATCGCAAATTCGTACGATCTGTTTCAAGAGCTCATTATACAAAGCTAATAGAATGCTACACGCTGATGTCACGAATGAACGCGATAAACCCACGTTCATCAGTTTGACATCCAGTGGTGGTTTGTTTACCTTTGCCTGTTAGTCGATTCAAATGGATTCGACCTTTTAAATTAAAAGGACTAAAAGATATGTTAATCAACTATGTTTAAAAAATACTCTTCTCTAAAAAAAAAAAACATTTGAAAATCAACATTGAGTCCATGTAAACAAACCACCAGCAGCTGTCAAAAAAAAGTGAGGTTAACCAGACGGTGCAGCTCCCATAAGAAGATACGACATAAGAGGAAGGATACATTATAAGGGTGATTCTACACATTTCGGTTACATTAAACTCAAATATTAACATGGAGGCGAACCAGCCTCAGGCTGAAAGCCTCCTAAATAAAGATAAATCAATCAATCAAATATTAACTTAACACTGGTGCCACTGATTTGCAGCTGCTTACTAAGATCATCGAAGCAGGCCGAGGTAATTCCGGAGTGATTGGAGATTAGGACGAACCTGCTTTTGTAAACATTGACTTATATTGCTGATGTTTCTCTAATAAAGCTCACACTCACAAACTAACAACACAACTAACAACGCCCTTAATCTCAAATCACTCCGGAAATAGTGTCTAATATAGGATACAAACACGTGATAATTATTTAGAAACAGTCTCGAATGATTCGATGCCGGTCTTAAACAATAGTCTAAATCCAAAACAAAAATGCATGGACTCCTTCAAGTTCATTTGAGAGTGAAAAACTTCCCCTCATGCGATGGTGCTGGTGATTTGCCAAGGCAATTTTCCATTTACAACTAACTTTAATATTCGTAAAAAAAAAAACATTGTTTACGTTTGCGACTGCCCTTATCCAGTTGATTGCGAACAGATAATAAATTTCTTGATTGCTAATAGAAATTGATATAGTTGGTACTATATTCTGTATGCATAAAAAATCAAAGATTAGATCCAATATCACTAGCACGGTATAAGACGGTGTATCCTCCAGCTCTTAGATAAATGCGTTAACGATATTGGATCAAAGGAATGTCCCTTTATATATCAATATGAATAAATTCCTATAACACAAAATTCGACTTACCTTATCGGTGGTATCGTACTTCAAAGTTCCGATGCGAATGGTGCGGCACTCCAGATGGGTGAACAAGCCATCCGGCATATTCTTTACATCAGTAACATCCAAGCGAACCAGGTCTGCAAGTAGAAAATATGGCACCGTCATCAGACACTTTTTCGTTCAGGAAAATTCTCCAATCCGTACCGCGGTCACCCATTTTTAAAATCTTTCCGGATAACCCCAAGTAGGAATAGCCTCTAGCGAGCAATGCGGAAAAATAAGAAGAAAACTAGTAGATACGATATTCAGCAAGTCAAGTAAACACCACCGCTGGGAATTTCACAGCACTCGATATATTGACAGCTTCAATCGCTAATTATTCACTATTTAAGTGGCGATTTGCATGAATTTCCGAACAAATTTCCAGACTTTCTGTTGCGCAAAGCTGAACGAAAACCATCGATGTCGGCACTAAAAAACGCGAATGTGTCCAACAGCAGCAAAATTTTCACCGAAACCAAGCTTGTGTGCGTGGAAGATATTGAGCCAAATCAATATGGCCGTCAGACGTCAGCCTGAAGACCGACTGTCATCTGTCAAAATTTTGGCTCATCATCAAAAAGTCGAGGGGTAGGAAAGCACACGAGCCATGACACACACTCTTTCAAAACAACACAAATTTGAGTGGGATCCATCGGGATCTAGTTAAACTGAACCTACCCAAAACTGTTGGTAGTGACAAGTTCTAGACCAACAATTGAAATAGGCGGAACAACCAAACGTAAACAATGGCTTTCAAACGCAAATTCCTCGATAATCAAAACACATTGAAGCAATCTAACACCACCATCTGATAGAGCAAACTTCCTCTATTGAATGGCATGGTTAGCTTGCGTGGGAGTGGTTTGATTCTCGAGGAATTTGCGTTTAAAGCCATTGTTTACGTTTGGTTGTTCCGCCTATGGCAATTGTTAGTCTAGAGTTGACAAATGAACAACATCGATCGGATTCAGGACGATGTCCATTTGTCAACTTTTTCCAACATAGTTTACAGAGATTCCGTTTTGGCCGATCTAGGTAGATCCTACCCAAATTTGGGTAGTTTTCGAGCAACACGAGAAAAGGGCCTATCATTGTTGATCGATTCTCTTCATCAATTTTCTCTTTCGCGAATAACCCGACTGCAAATGAATGAATAATGAAAACATTTCCCATTCAGTGTGTGTTGTTTCAGGCGCAAGCTAACATCATCTTTTATCGAACTTTGCTGCAAGCTTAGCGAGAAATTTGTTTATGTTGCCGTGGTAACCCGCAAGTTTTAACCTTATGTATTATGGTTTTTTTGGAAGTGAACCTTACAAATAATGGGTTGTTAAGAGCCATTACCATTAAAAATTCTTGTTTTATCCATACATTTTCGGAAAGAAAAATATATTAAAACCTTTTAGATTATGGTTTGAGAATATTAATGGTAATGGTTATGGTAATCAGTAAGGTCCATGGATGGTTTTGTATTGTCGGTCAACTCGGAGGCGAACCAGCCTCAGGCTGAGTCTCCCTAATAAAGAAAACTTAACTTATAGTACGTTCAGACTACAGAGTTATAACAAGTTATAGCGCTATCTTGATGGTGGTTTCTGTGTTGCAATTATTTGACAACCGTTATAACATGTTATAACTCTCTAGTCTGGACAGCTTTTTAGCTTTATCTAATCTCGATATATTCCACATAAAGTTGATCGATGTTACAAAACCATCCATGGATTGATTGATTGATTGATTTATCTTTATTTAAGAGGCTTTCAGCCTGAGGCTGGTTCGCCTCCAATTCCATCCATGGACCTTACTGACTACCATAACCATTATCATTAAAGTTTTTAAATCATAAATAAAAAGGTTTTAATATAATTCCTTTTCCGGAACTGTATGGACAAAACAAGAATTTGGAATGGTAATGTTTCTTAACAACCCATTATTAGTAAGGTTCACCCAGAGGTTCACTTTTAAAAAACCATAATACATAAGGTTAACATTTTATCACACAAACGTTCATGTAAAGTTCGATAACCAGTTCAGTTAAAGTTCAGCAGGGATTATAAACAATGTTTAACCATTTTTGGTAAAGTCAGGCAATGTTTCGCATTTATGCGGGAAACCAAAGAGAAAGTTGATGAAGAGAATCGATCAACGAGGATAGACCAATTTCAAATGTTACGCGAGAGTTTTGAAATAGCGTGCGGGGTAAAAGCCGGCGCACAATGGATAAGTTTTCAGGTTTTTTGACATAGCCCATGCATCATCTGTTAAAATACTCGGAAACTTATACATTGTGCGCCAGCCTTAATTTTTATAAACTGAACACCTCGCTTAACACAGAGCGTCCATAAGAGCCAATGTCGCAAGCGTAAAATATGCTGAAGTTCTTTTTGATTAGGTCGTATGTAACATTTTTGCAAATTTGAGAAACAATGTGTTTTGTTTTGGTTTCTATAGATATGTATTTTCAATAAGATCGATAAGTCTTTCAAAATTAAGTAATTGAGTAAAGTATTGATAGTGTTCCTATATATGGACTATAAGAAGCGCTCATAGTAGGTAGCCGTCTCATACAAGAACAAGCGCATGAGTTTAAACTTGCTCATTGAACTTGAGTACAAACATGTGTACAAATGGGCTTGTACATCCTCGAACATAGAAGGCGGAGAACAACCCTAATAAAAATATCTTATGGTAAATTTTCTTAACGACGTGTTCGGGGTATCATCCAAACTAATTGTGGAATAGTTCAATCATTTGGGTTATCGTTTGTTTATGGTAATTTTTATAAGGGAAATGAGTACAAAAGCTTGTTTGTACATCGCACACATGTTGTACCGTGAAGACTGATTCATATGGCGACTGTTTTGACGCGTTTTGTATCCAAAGAAACGATACCATAAATACAACAAATGAAAGATCTGCCAAATGTTTGTTTGATCGTATTGATTTATATCGACGTCGACAACAAAACAACCCGTCATTAGTAATCGATGTTTAATCCGAGAACAATACCGGTTGGAGCCTGTTAGAGCTTACCACCATGAGCAGACATTCGCTCCCTCCATTTTTGTGATTTAAGGTAGGTGTACCAGTTATAGCTATACGCTCCTATTATGGTGTGTTCCAATTATAGCCTATGAGAATTCCATAGGCCATAATTGGAACACACCATAATAGGAACGTATAGCCATAACTGGAACACCTACCCTATCTGGGTAGGGTCCTATCTGCTTTGATCGATACTCTTCATCGACTTTCTCTTTTCATAACCACTGCTATGAAAACAGATTTCGCACTAATTCTACCACATAGTTTGATAAGGGAGGACACATTCCTACCCATTCCTTTCTTGACCTGCGTTCGGGCGCGGCCGGCGCTGCTATTGCCTAGTTTGAGATCACCAGTTTTTACACATTGAGGATGATTGCTAGTCCCAAGCTTCGTCTATTGGTTCTCTGTGTAATTACAGCTGATCTAGCAATAACAGAGTAGCAACCGTGGGCGGTCAATCATGCTCATGCTCATGCTCACATAGTTTGATAAAGGAGGTTCTTATCTAGCGTCCAAAACGTCAAATACAACAGCTGAGTTATTGACGAAAGAGAAAGTCGATGAAGAGAATCGACCTCTTTGGCAAATATTTGCGCAATTAGGCGTAAAAACTCCGTATCTTTTCGAAATACAAGGAACAATATCAAAAAGGACACAAAAACAGAACAATTATTTAAAAAAACGAATAATATTCTGATGAGTCTAGTCACAGAGTTCCAGAGTATGCCGAATCAGGTCCAGAGTAAAGCAGTTAGTAACTCCCAGGAGTTCGCCCAGCAATTACAATCTTCAGGCGACATCACCGAGGACGAGATGGTATCTTTCGACGTCACAGCTCTTTTTTCTAACGTACCGGTCAAGGAAGCGATCAACCATTGGAGGGACTGGCCACAACGAGAGGATGCAGCATGGAGAAACAAGGTTCGGACGGTACATTAAGCTTACCCGTCTCTGAATGGAAGAGAATTACTTCTCTTTTCGAGGTAACTTCTACAAGCAGACGAAAGAAGCCCCTATGGGAAATCCCGAAAATTCTACAAATGAGATTACATCTGAACCCTTGAAACGAGTGTCCGTTCATTTGCTCAAGATATTACTTGTAAGCTGAGACCACAGTTAACACAATTCGGATTAGATTTAGTTTTCACCAGTAGATACGTAAATTTCTCGAGAATCAAAACTCATCTAAGTAATCTAACACCACCATCTTATAGATCAAACTTCCTTTATTGAATGGCATTGTTAGTTTGCGTGGGTGTGTTACGGTTCTCAAGAAATTAGTGTATAAAGCCATTGTTTACGTTTGGTTGTTCCGGCTATTTGAATTGTTTTTCTAGAAATAAGCTGTAATCATTGTAACAAAATATGCAGAACACATCTTCACAGAGGACCACCAACTATGAACGGAGGACATCACGATTTTACGAACTTTATCTACACCATGGCAATTGAATGTTGCAGAGAGCCTCAAGATCAAGGTGTGAGATGCAGGAAACTCATCGAACTAATTCAGCCAAAATCCCTGGAGAGTCCATTTCACTTATCAGCACCTTTTTTGCAATACCAGGAAAAAAGCACTTCAAAGGATTCAGAACAAAATTCTGAAGATTATTTTTAAGTTGCCTCCCTGGTACAGTACTACCGATGTGAATAGAATTTCGAATGTTGAGACTTTAAAACAAATGTCAAACAAATATTAATAATTTTTCAGACAAAAATCGTTGCAACGTTCAATTGCAACGATTAATTCGCTTTTCAGATAAGATTTAGTTTATGTTTTTAGTTTTAAGGTGGAAATTGTTATACTCACACGCAGGTATAGAAAACCTGTGTTTGGGCAACGCGCCATTTCCCTATTCGTACTATTGTTAACACTGTAATGCCTGCTATACCGTATTGTGTTTGTATGTTTATTGTATCGTGTGTGAAATATATTCAATCGTCTCGAAACCACCACCGCGGCTGGTCGGTAGAATATTCGGTCGCCTTTTAATTTAATTTTATACTGATCAACAACGCAGTAGGGTCCTATCGTGCGCGATCAACC